TGATGATGCAGTATTGCAACCCTGTGCATATACATCTAAGAAACTCACGGAAACAGAACCGCGCTGGCCCGTATGGGAGAAGGAGGCTTATGGGATACGTTGGGCATTACTCACGTGGCGACAGTTCCTGGAAGGCAACAAAATCCCCTTCCAGGTATGGACTGATCACAAAAATTTAGAAGCCCTGAAAACTCCCAGGAAACTCAATCCCAAACCAGCCCGCTGGTCCCAGCATTTTCACCAATTCCAATTTAAGCTCAAACATTTACCAGGAAGAAAGAACTTCCTGGCAGATGCACTATCTCGCATGCCCCAATATAACAGCGCACGAACCACAGAATCTAGACCAATAATGGCAGAGTCACAACTGGCAGCGCCAGTAACCACAAGAACCCAAGCCAAAATAAAACCACCAACTGGACAGCCAAAAAACTGGGATGGGAATTCAGAAAAAAGTTTGGAAACAGATGATTGGTTCCAGACAGAAAAAAAAAACAAACATGTGTGACAATGAGAGGGGGGGGGGTGACGGATTGCCTGGGTAGGGGAAAAGTTTATAGATACCAACAACTCAAAGGACTAACTTTTCATGGCAACTTTTGCCATGACACAAAATCAGCAGGGCATTTTGGATTTGTACAAACTTTACACTTAATTAAACGGCAATTTTGGTGGCCATCAATAAAAAAGGACATAGAAAGTTATGTTGCCAGCTGCCCAACCTGTGCATCAGCAAAGAGGTTGCAAGGGAAATCGCCAGGGCTGTTACAACCAGTGGCAAGTCCCTCAGCCACCTGGAGGGAAATAGCCATGGATTTTATAGTGGAATTGCCTGAAAGCAATGGGAATACTGTGATCTGGACAGTCACGGACCTATTTTCCAAACAGGTGCACTTTATCCCTTGCCAAAAAATTCCCACTGCAAAGGCCTTAGCAAAACTTTTTATCCAGCACATTTACAGATTGCACGGGGCACCCCAACGCATCATCTCTGATAGGGGAGTGCAATTTACGTCTACATTTTGGAAGGAATTTTTATCCCTCGTAGGGACCACTCAGGGACTGACATCTAGCCATCACCCTCAGACAGATGGACAAGCGGAACGCTGCCAGTCGGTACGTGAGCAATATTTGAGATGTTTTTTAAATTTCCAACAGAGTGATTGGACGGACTTACTTCCTTTTGCAGAAGTTGCCTACAATAATGCAGTCCACTCCAGCACAGGCTACACTCCTTTTCAAATAGCCAACGGCCAAAGTTTAAACCCTATGCCAGAGTTAACCCCAAAAGAACCAACGATCCCTTCACTGAAAGAATGGATGGAAAACCTACAAAACACCTGGCCAATAGTCAGAAAATCACTAGATTAAGCTAGGCGGGCATACAAAGCACAAGCCGATAAAAAAAGGGTTGAGCCTACAACATTCATTATAGGAGAAATGGTGTACTTATCTACAAAATACCTAAAGTCCCTACAGCCCTGTAAAAAACTTGGACCAAAATATATAGGACCTTTTCCAATTAAAAGGATCATAAAGCCAGTAACAGTAGAATTAGAATTACCCAAAAACCTCAGGCAAATACACCCAATTTTTCATTGCAGCTTGCTGAAAAGAGAGCATCAGTCACCTCTACGGCCAAAAATCCCCCCCCCACCACCTCCAATCATGGGTGGAGGGGGAACAACACTTCGAAATAAAAGAGATCCTTGACTCTAGGAGATATCGTGGAACAACTCAGTACCTAGTTGCCTGGAAACACCTCCCTGCCTCACAAAATGAGTGGGTCCATAAACGTCACGTCAGAGCCCCGAAGCTATTGAAGAAGTTTCACACAGAGTATCCTAACAAGCCTAACTAAATTTTTTACTTGTGTTTTCTTTCAGGTGGATCTCTCTTATTGTTAAGAGGGGCCGGATGTCAGAATCCAATTATATTTCATCTTTAATTATCAAACATAGAAACTCCCAATTCTGCCTTCTCTGGATTCTGCCCTAAGAGGGAGAAAAGGGGGAGAGCAAAGGGGCTTTATGGCCCTCACTTCCTTCAGCACACTTCAAAGGACTGAATGTGTGTTTATTGTGGCCTCTAAGCTTTAACATATCAAAGAAGAGTAATTGCCTTTCATGTAGTTATCTGAAGTCTCCATCCAGACGGAAGAAGAAAGGGGATGGAATTGTGATACTTGAAACTATCACTGGAAGGGGGGTTGATTGGGTGGGACTACTGGGGAACCCCTTAAAACCTTGAATGGGAGAGCTTGAACCCCAAGTCCTGTCTAGCATGCCTGCAACCATTTTCTCTTAATAAAGGATTCCTGTTGGAAGAATTATTCCAAGAGTTCTGTCTTCTTAAGATGCAAAGTGGGGTGGGTCCTCACATTTTTATACACAAGAAAGGGGCCCAAGATGATTTAAAGAACCATCACCTAATAAGCCTTCTTTCATCATCTACAAGGTTTTCACCAAGATAATAGCAAAAAAGGATATTGAGAATGTTAAATGATGCACAGCCAAAGGAGCAGGCAGGGTTCAGAAGTGGATACAGCACAATAGATCACATCCAGGTTCTTCAGCAAGTCATTGAAAGGCACAATGAGTACACCATGCCTCTATGCATTGCTTTCATTGACTACAAAAAGGCAGTATTTGATTCAGTATTTTAGCAAGCAATAATTAATGCATTGCTCAATCAAGGCATAGACACTGCTTACATAAACCTATCACAATAATATATGAAAAAACAATGGTGACCATTTGTCTTAATGATCTTAAAGTGGAAAACAAAACAGAACAAGGTATACAACAAGGCAATACATCTATCCTTTTCTCGGCCTGATTTGAAGAACTATTTCACAAACTAGACTAGGCAAAAGATAGAATAAAAATCCATGACGCCTATTTAAATCACTTGAGTTGCAGATGATGTTATTCACTTCTCACAAGACCCAGAAGAGCTACAAAGACACATACAAGAGCTGCACAAAGTGGGAGAACTATTTGGTTTAAAAATAAACCTGAAAAAGAGCCAGGTTATTTTTAATAAATTCACCAAAGAAATATTTTTTTATATATCTGGAGAAGAACTAGATGTAGTAGACCACCACATATACCTTGACCAATGGATCTCAATGGAGAGTGATACAATAAAGGAAATTGAACTGTGTGTTAAATGTGATTGCAGGCATTCGGCAAGCTGAGCATAATTTTCAAGAACAACATCTCCGCTATGCCTAAAGAGAAAAGTTTCCGATCAGTGTATGTTACCTGCTGTAACATATGCTGGTGAAACATGGACACTAACCTCACAATGAGTCGTGGTGTCCCAGTGGTTAGAATGCTGTACTGCAGGCTACTTCTGCTGACTGCTGGCTGACTGCAGTTCAGCAGTTCGATTCTCACCGGCTCAAGATTGACTCAGCCTTCCATCCTTCCGAGGTCGGTAAAATGAGGCCCCAGATTGTTGGGGGCAACATGCTGACTCTGCTTAGAGAGAGGGCTATAAAGCACTGTGAAGCAGTTTATAAGTCTAAGCGCTATTGCTATAAATACAAAAGCTACGAGTGATCCAAAAAGCTATGGAAAGATACATGCTCAGAATTACAAGACAAAATAGAAAGACCTGCACATAGATTAGAGAACAAATGAAAGTATACGATATCATCAAGAGAGTAAAAGAATTGAAATGGAAATGGGCTGGTCACACAACAAGAACTGATGGTAGACAAAGGCAATCATAGAATGGATCCCACTTGATAAAAAGCATCCACGAAAGACACCTAAAACAAAATGGATCAACAACATTAGCAAGTGTTACAGGCCCAATTGGCAAAAGGAAGCTCAGGACTGTATTGGTTGGAAACAGGTGGAAGAAGATTTCATCCTGTAGTGAATACACAATGGCTAAAATGATGATAGGCTAAATGAAGAAGAAAAGAAGTTCTCTTATATCTACAAAATATTCTTGAGCCATAAAAAATTGTTGTCCAATTATACATATTATTATTCAAATTATACTAATGGCATTAATGAAAAAATGAACAAACTTTTAATTATTAAAAGTTGATCTAGATTGCCTGGCAATTGTAATCTCACTGCAGGTTAACATGTTGTACTTGAGATTAAGTCTCCTTTAAAGCATATTAGGGAGGAGTCAATGATGCCACCTTCACCCCTAGTTTGTATATTTCAATCCTTCTCTGAATTCAAGTCTGCTGTCGAGGACCAGCATGATTGTGTATCTGTCAAACTCAGCTCTCTCAGCCTAACATTTCTAACACTGGAATCAGTTTGCTTTCTATTCTACATTCAAATCCCAAGGTTTGTCCAGATGTAAAATCTAATTTTTCAACAAGCATTTTAAAATAAAAAAATGGATTAGGACATAGATATACAACTAAAAAAGAATTTAAATTCCAAAAGGCATCATAAAAACAGCAGTAGATAAAAAAGTTATCAGCTAGCTTTAAAAGCCACAATGAATAGTTAATATGGCTACTAAAGTACAGAGTGATGCATCGGAGAAAAGCATTGATAACTTTCTCCCTCTGCAAAGCATTGTAACCTATCATTTTTTTGATTTCTACTACACTGTATCAAACATGATACACAGAACAGATCTAAAAAATAGGGAGGCATAAAGAGAAAGAGAAACTCTTTAAATATGCTAGTCCATCAAATACAGTAATACTTGAGTAGCCTAAACATTTGGTACAGAAAGGATTTTACCCTCTATGTTCTGCTTTTATCAGAAAATGAATTGTGGTCCCCAATCATATCCATTCATGGCTGAACATAGAGCACACTCAGACAAGTGAATTGTGCTGAGTTCAAGTTACTCTTTTATAACACGATGTTTACCTGAAAATAAGACCTGCCTCATCATTTTTTTTGGCTCCAAAAGAGGCATTAGGGCTTATTTTCAGGAAAACATGGTAACAGGATGATCAGCCCAACCGGGCACCCCACCCTGGCATGCGCCCAGAAGGCTGGGGGAACTGATAGTGTCCAGCTGCAGCCCACTGGCTCCGTGGTTGGTGCACTCTGGGGCAGTGCAGCCTGCACAACACAGGTGAGTTGATTATCTGTCCAAGCAGTAGGCCACATCCTTGTGCGGCAGCATCAACAGCAGGCGGAGGGAGAGGCGCAGGGGGAGGCACATGATCTGGATGAGTCATGGGTAAGCCAAGAGATGGTGGGACAGAGTGAGTAGGCGGCTGATGCTGCCGTGCGAGAACGTGCCTCCCACGTCCGCCTGCCCACTCCATTCCACTAGTTCTGTTTGCCCTTGGCCACGAGGAGACAGGCAGCAGCGCAGCGTGTTGGGATCATCTGCCGCCCCCATGCCTCTGTCTGCTGCTGGTACTCCCGTGCCTCGGGATTACCTGCCTCCTTCCCCCGCGTGCCTGTTTGGAGGGCCGGCCCAGTGGTCTTAGAGCTTGGGATCATCTCTGCTGTATGGGCTTCAGCTGCTGCCAAACACCATCAGCCCCTGCACATTCACCACCCTCTGTGCTGGCCACACTCCCCTGGGCTGATGATGATTTTAACTGGGGCTTATTTTGGGGGCAGGGCTTATATTAAAAATCAGGCTAGGGCTTATTTTCTGGTTGGCTTTTATTTTCGGGGAAACATACTAGTTGTTTTTCTTTCATGTCAACATTTTGATTCATGTCATTATATATTCATAACAAGCCATCTATTCAGATACTGAAGTTAAATGGGGAATGGGGGGAGTATAATTTAATAAAAATGTTTATTACTCACTTATTGAAAAGATGATTGTCCACTTTAATCTTGCTGTAGGCTTTAAAGTCATCTGGCATTAACATAACAGGGACAGGGACATTACTCAACTCATTAATCTGCAAAAGAAATGCAACATCTAAACAGGATGTGAGGGAAAAAAGAAAGGAAGTCATCTGAATTGTTGGAATGTACAATTGTAGAGCCAATAAATCCCACTAATATTTACTGGAAGTTTCAGCATTAAATGAATATGGGCAAGAAAGCACAGATGTTCTATTAAAGGGGTGATATTTATTGAGAGAAGAAATCATAGTTATCTGAGTGCTCTAGGCTACATCATCTACGTCATCATCATGAGCAGTTGCTATCTCCAGGTTATGATTTTGTTTAATTTATATGACAGTGTACTGTTCCTCTTTCTCTTTTTCAATTTTTAGACAGATAATTATTTACATCTATATTAATAATTTCAGGTCCGTCTTAATCACTCATACCTTTAGTTAATAATCTGATTGTATTTTGATGCAAAGATGTGTTTGAAAGTATGGTAAGCACCTGCTAAAATGTTATTTTTCTTATTAGTTTGTTTTTTCTCAACTTCATATGCTATACTACATACACACTTGTATTTGGCCAATGAGCACTTTTTCACTGGTTTCTTTCCCTCTAGCAAAATTGGAAGTAGATGAAACAAGAGCACCTCTCAGAGGCATTTTTAAGATAAAGTTAGCTAAGAAACAATATGTAAATTTGAAAGAATTTTCATAGTAAGATGCATATAACATATGATAAATCAAACCCATGAGTACTGAATTATATAGCTTATGTGAAAAATATTATTTGAGACAAATAAGGTATTATGTGAGAGCCAGTTTGGTGTACATAATGGTTAAGACAAAAGACTAAATACCAGAAGGCCACAAATTTTAATCCTAGCCATGAAATCAACTGGGCGACTTTGGGTCAGTCACATTCTCTCAGTCACAGGAAAAAGGCTAGAGTAAACCATTTCTAAAATCTTGTAAAAAAAACTGCAGGGACTAGTCCAAGCAGTAAAGATAATTTTGATGGAAATTTGTAAAAACCATTACATGGCCAAAGGTGTGAGATATTTTTGAAGCCCAAGGAAATAAATTAATATTCAGAAGGGGGTCAGGTTAGAGGTCTCTCTAGCACAGAGAGGCAGGGGGCAGAGGGGAGATAGGCACAAATGCTTAGACTTCCCCAAAATTATGATCCAGAAGTGAGAAGACTTCTACCTAAGATTCTGTAACTGTTTGAACTTTAAACTTCATAATGCTCCTAGGGGGTTATACTGATTTTAGGCCAATCCTTCAGGGGAAACCACGTTGAAGGAAACAAAGCCATAGCTAACTTGGTGTTATGCTGAAGGAACATGTGAAATGATATTCTGTCTGCTACCTTATTTCAGGGATTGAAATGCCAGGACTTCTAAAAACTTAAGGAAATAAATTAGATGTTATCAATTTCAAGGAGCACTGCAGTGTCTCTTCACATACAGGACAATATCGCCATGGTCCTTCACAGAATGGAAATAATTCTGACACCAATATTGGTTATTTTTAGCATAAGGAAGAAAATAAATTTTCCACCATATGAAAACATCCAGTACTAAACAAGATGATAGATGATAAATATATTCAACTCTAATTGCCAGGAATTTTTATTCAATAATATTTATTGCTATTGCAATAACAATAAAGTTTTGTCACAATGTAGCACGTAAACAAACACCTAAATAAAGTGACTTGGAGAAAACACTTTGTTCATATAAATAAGATTCATCAAATATTCACAAATATTCATATTCATTGCAAATATTCACCAGTGACTTTAAATAATTAAACCTATTGCAATTGCAGTTGCATGAACCACGTTTAAGCATCTACAGAGTTTTTTTCTTCCTTGTTTTTCCTAATGAAGGGTCTTCTTTTTCAAATCAAGTCAGTGTTGATCCATTGATTGTGATGAATTGATTGATTGGTTTGCTGCCTGGATCCTCTCATTGTGGGCTGAAAGAGAAGCCAGCTTTCATGCCTAAACCAGGATTAGAATTCATAGTCTCCTGGTTTCTAGCCGCCCGCCGCCCTCCTCCCCCTCCTCTGCCTGCTCCTGCCACCTCCAGGGCGCCCTTCTCCTCCGACAGTGCCTGCTCCTGCCGCCGCAGCGCCATCGCACATGCCCCCGACGCCGTCCCAGGCCGGCTCAACTGCGATAGGCGGCCAGGCCAAGCTGGGTCTGGGCTGCTGTTGGCACTGCCGCTGGGCTGCTCCACCGCTGCCGGCTGAGCTGAGCTGCGCAGCCGAGCAGGTTGCCTGGTCACGCTCCAGCCCTGGCTGCCCTCCGCGCCGCGCCGGAGCCTCTCCCACGCTGCCCAGCCCACCTCCCTCGCCATTGGAGGCCACCTCGGTGGTGCCCGGCATGGCCCTGGGGCTGGCGGGCCGGAGCGGCTCCTTCCCAGCTCACTGGGCTCCGGGCCTCAGAAGCGGCCAGGCAGTGGGCAAGAGGGCAAGGTGGCAGCGATGCCCGCATGTGCGTCGGAGGCCAGCCGGCTGGGCTGGAAGAGGAGAAACGCCACCTTCCAAGCAGGAGCTGGTGCTCCGGCCACGCCCCTCTCGCATGTGATGAGTTGGGGAAGGGTCATGGCGGGAAGGGCTGCATGGCGTGGAAAGGGGCTTCTGCGATCCCGCTGCTGCGATGGCACTCAGGAGGCTGGAGGGGCAGGCAGATCCTGGTGGGCAGCTGGGAGAGGATGAGGATGGGTGTTCCAGGTTGGCGGGCATGAAAGGGCAGCCAGCGGCTTCCAAGGCCCTGGAGATACCGCCGCTTGGCTCTCTGCCAGAGCCTCCCCCCCTCCCTGGGCAATTGTGCAGAGCTGCTTGTGCGTCCTTGGCAGCACCAAGACAAGGCTGTGTGCCCAAGCCGAAACACAGCGCTTTTCCTACCACTTCTCCTCCCGTTGGTCAAAGGCAGACGCGATTTCCCTTTCCCTGGTTCTTTTCATCTGCGCTGGAAAGGACAATTTGGGCTATTTTACTACCGGTACCTGTTGCTTGTTTTATTACTTTTGCCTTTGCTGAACCAGAGAAAATTGGTTAAAGTGATTTTCAGGAGCTGCAGAATGCCTCCAAGTAAAACTGCAGCAATTACCCAGCCAATTATCCCTGCTAGGGCATCTGCGTATGTCTCCAGACCTTACTGGACTATCATCCCCTGCAGCCCTAAAAAGCACTGTGGAAGAGTGGGGAATGCTGGGAGTTGCAGTTCATCACCATCTGGAAAAACGTGACTCTCCAAAGATCAATCCTTCCTTCCTTCCTTCCTTCCTTCCTTCCTTCCTTCCTTCCTTCCTTCCTTCCTTCCTTCCTTCCTTCCTTCCTTTCCCCTTCAATCTCCTTCCTTCCTTCTCCATCTCCATCCCTTCCCCTTCAATCTCTCTCTCCTGCCTTCCTTTCTTCCTTCCCCCTTCAATCTCCTTCCTTCTCCATCTCCTTTCTTTACCCTTCAATCTTCCTTCCTTCCATCACCACCCCTTCCCCTTCAATCTCTCTCTTTCCTTCGTTTCTTCCCCCTTCAATCTCCTTTCTTCTCCATCTCCTTCCTTTCCCCTTCAATCTTTCTTCCTTCCATCTCCATCTCCATCCCTTCCTCTTCAATCTCTCTCCTTCCTTCCTTTCCCCTTCAATCTTCTTCCTTCTCCATCTCCTTCCTTTCCCCTTCAATCTTCTTTCCTTCCTTCCCCTTCCCTCCCTCCCAACATTTTTCAGCAAGGAAGAGTAAGCTTCTCCAGTGAACGTTGCTATATTGTTTTTGTGATTAATCACTATGCTTTAATTATGTTCAATTCGTAACAATGAAAATACACCTTGCATATCAGATATTTACATTACGATTCATAACAGTAGCAAAATTACAGTTATGAAGTAGCAACGAAAATAATTTTATGGTTGGGGGTCACCACAACATGAGGAACTGTATTAAAGGGTTATGGCATTAGGAAGGTTGAGAACCACTCCACTAGAACATATTTGCTCTCAGTTAAGCGCCTACAGATAAATCTTGTTTAACTTCTATTCTTTAGCAACAATGGTGCTGAACAAAGGGACTTTGTTCTGTCTGTTAAAGCACTCCCATAGTCATGTGAACAAAATTTGGGCCCACTTGGACCCATCTGAATTTACAATTGCCCACTTACCCACTGCTGTCAGCTGGCCATATCTGCTACTACTATGTCCACCACTATACCATAAGTGACTGCTATATAGGCCAAGGCCTTCTTTTGCACCACTGTAGCTGAGGTTTCTCTCATGTCTCACCCAAAGCCCTTTGTAAAAGATGTTTGGTGCATGAAAAAAAGCCTTGGCAAAAAAGAATCCTTCTAGCCAAGTCTTCTTTCACATGCCAGGCTTCTTTCCTGAAAGAAGACCCAGGTGGGACATGAATGAGGCCCAGGCATGTGAATAGAAACTCTGGCTGGGGTGCGAGAGAAGTCTTGGTTGCACTGGCCTGAAAGAAGGAGATGCAAAAGAAGGCCCTGGCTCGCACTATAGCAATGTATGGTGTAGGGCAGGGGTAGGCAACCCAAAACACTCAAAGAGCCACTTGAACCCGTTTCCCACCAAAAACAAAACACTGGGAGCCGCAAAACCCTTTTGATATCTAAAATGAAGATAACACTGCATATATGCTTTTTTACCTTTATTATAGGGGTGTGTGCATGTGTGTGTGTGTATGTATACACACACACACATATTAAAAATAAAAGTAAAAATATGACTCTTGGGAATATCCATACTATTAAAACAATGATCACCAACAGAATGCTTTAATGCTTTAAGAGAATAAAATTACATACACACACAGGTAAAAAAAGGATATATGCAGTGTGATCTTCATTTTAGATGTCAAAAGGGTCTCTCTCTCTCTCTCTCTGTCTCTCTCTCTCCCTCCATCTCTATCTGCCCTTGGTCTACCAGTCCTCTTCCCCCACTCTCTCTCTCTCTCTCTCTCTCTCTCTCTCTCTCTCTCTCTCTCTCTCTCTCTCTCTCTCTCTCTCTCTCTCTCTTTCTCCCCCCCCCATCTGGTGCTCACCTGGCAAGCTTCAAGCTGTTGTCCAACAAGCTCAGGGATAGAAAACCTCGTCTCTTTTATGACTCATGGACTTCAACTCCCAGAATTCCTGAGCCAGCCTAGCTGGGCTAGCTAGCTCTCTCCTGCCCTTCCTGCTTCCTGCTTCCTGCAGAGACGCAGTAAAGGGAGGAGCTCCGCCCAGTAAGCTTTTCAGCTCCTCGGAGAATAATGTGAGTGCACTCTCTTTTACACATACACACACACACACACACACACACACACAAAACACACACACACAAAACACACACACAGAGAGAGAGAGAGAGAGAGAGAGAGAAGCAGGGAAGCGCAATTGCCTCTCTCTGTCTCTGTCTCTCTCTGCAAAGGCAGAGGAGGCTGGGAGCCACAGGGGAAGGCTCAAAGAGCCACATGCGGCTCCGGAGCCGCAGGTTGCCGACCTGTGGTGTAGGGGTAAGAACTGGGTGGTTGGGGTAGCTAGTGGGTAGGCAGATAGCCAAAAGGGCAGAGATTGGGGGGAAGACAGGCAAATGAGGGGAGTTTAGGAGGAGACAGTGGAGGCAGTCCCTTATCTTACCAAAGCATGCAGATGGGAAGGACAAAGTTGGGAATAGCTTGGATCAGGATGGGTCCTCACCTAATGACCCGTGGAATTCAGTTAATGACAGCAATGGGAATTTCCAGGCTTACCAGGGCTAAGCAATGTAATCATGTGATGTTACATTATGACTGCATCCCTTAGCAACAGAAATGTAAATTGTAAACTGCCTGTGTGGTCTTCCAGATGTTGCTGAATTAATATTCTCAGCAAACTCAGAAAGCATGATTGATTATAAAAAATACTGGGATCTGTAGTCCATCAGCACCATAATTTCCCATTCAGATATGTGCATATAATACACAACAGGGCTTGTCAGGATGCTACTTTTGAAATAAACATTCTTAATTTCTTTGGGACCATCTTACTAACTGGAGCTTGTGAAGCGCTGGTGAATTATTTTTCAGTAACCTTCCTCTAAACTGCCACTTTTCAGATATTCTGGGACTATTAATTGACAACGCTCACTAAGATTTCTAGGATATGTACAGTTCTGTCCCTGGACTCTGAAATGGCAAGAGCTTTTTTTTTTGCTTTGTATAACTGAGATAATCCACATTCAGACAGATTCCAACAAAATGATTTATCATAATATTTATATATATTTAATTATATAGTATTATTCTGGATAATGAAAAAAATTATCATCTGTTATCTCTTCTTAACTTAGAGATTCCTGCTTTATGAAGATTTCTGCTTTATGAAGATTGTTTATCGAAGCAACAATAATTTAAAATACAAAAAATCAAAACTCATCCTTGATAAAGAATATACCAGGCGGGATTTACTGAATCCAGATGACACATAGGTTAAAAAAACCAGAACATGTTGTTGAGGATTTGAAGCTACAATCCTCTATATAGAGCACTGTTTCTAAACTCAATAGTCCACTTCTGAATAAACAATCTCCTGGTTCGTTCAAAAACTAAAATTGTGCAAAAAATGTTCCTCCTTAAATCAAGTTCAGGAAAAGCACAGCTTTTTAAAGAAGTTGTCAATAGGTAAAATATACATACCCACATGCTCCAGTCCCACCAAATTCCTACTGGTGTGTGAGAAGAAAGATTATAGTAAAGAACCTCTATCTTCTATAGAGGAAGACTTTGAAATTCATTAATCACAGAATTGCTTCCCCTTTGTAATTATTTTTTTTACCTGCTCTCCATTTCAAAATGATGCCTGTCTCTACAATTTTCCAATATTTGTTTTCATGCAAGATATGAATTCTTATAAATACCCAAATAAAGACGCTTACCCTGTACCTAATAATCAACACAAGAGTTGCTACATAATGGTTTTAAGAAGAGACAAATATTCAATGGCAGAATGTGCCTCTCTAGTTGAGAGGTCAGGTTCAAAGAGATGGGAGGTGAACTGAGTTGTTCTTGCTCACCGTGTGGTTGACTCCCCACATAAGGACACTCAGGAGAGGTTCAGAGGCTCGAAACAGTTTCACTTTCTGGCAGACGAAATGCTTCTTCTTTGTCTTGGTCTTGGAAGCACTGAGAGCAGCACCTATAGCTGAGCCAGCGCTTGCAGCCGCTGTGCCTCCAGTACAGTTTGAGGCCATAGCAGAGAGAGGGTCCTGGGGGCTGCTAAACAAATATTGGCCTCCTAAGAGCAGAGTTTTTTCATGCCTCTCCTTAGGCCCCTCCAACCTGGGCAACACCTCAGACAGTCATGTCAAAATGCTCTCCAAGGAAAGGCTCAGACTTCTGTTCCTTCAGTACTCAGCCACTCTCCCTCCACATTCTTTAAAGACAGAACTTGTACCAGCTCAAAATGGCACCACTTGGTACATAAGCTGGTTAGACTTGACACCTCCTTGCAAGATACTACTAGAACCAGCCTCTCATTTATAGCACCATAGCTTCGCTCCTTTTTAAACTTGAAGTGGTGCTTCTTGTCTTTTTCCGACCTTCAGATTACAGTGGGCCGTTAAAGGCACCGCTTCTATTCTTCTCTGCTCAACCGCGGTTGAATGTCATTCGAATCTGAGGTACTTCTTTAATTCTCCCTATAAGTTCCCCAAAATGGTACCATCCAACCCTCCCTTTTCCACCTAGACCAGTCCCACTGCAATTAAATCAGCCGTATCCCTCCCCCCCCATAAAAAGCGTTCACAACGGTATCACCCGTCCTTCTTTTCTCTCCACCTAATTCAGCGGACTCACCTAAATAGATAGGAGATACACACAGGTGCACATGCACACGCACCAATCACAACAGTACCACCCACATGAACACACCCTTCCCCTCGTTACAAGCAAGAGTTCCGTTCAGAGAACCGGGCACCACACCATAACTCGCCTTTCACATCAGTTTGATCCGAGCCCCACCCCGTCTATTATCAAATAGTAGTGTCTACCTCCCTACCCAAGCTATCCTAACCTTAACCCCCCCTTTACAACATAGTTCGATTAGTTTCATCTGCTATGAATATATCGCCCCACCCCACCTTCCCCTCATGCCTCCCTCTCCGTGGTTTGTTCCACCGCGGAACAAGCTGTGCCATCGACTCCTGCGCAAAGGAGGCGTCAAGATGGCGACGAATAAAGGGAGGGGCGGACCGGAATGTTCCATTTCTCTTTGAGAAATTGAAGGAGAAAAGTACTGTAATAATAGTTTATTTAAAAAGGGTCAAGGAATTATGTTGTGACAAAGCAATGTAGTTTGGATTAATTTTTTAAAATAACGCACAGCTAGCAAATCCACTAACTTTTCCTTTAATTATCTTGCTTGAAAAGATAGTTTATTCCGAAGACAGTGTTGTATCAAATAGGTTAGTATTTATCCGTTTTAGAGACCAAATAACCAATCAACAATGGAGCACCTAGAGTTATGAATGGGAAATTATGACTGTATGTCACCGAAGCGTTCTATTTTAGAGACAGCGCCACCTCTGAATAAGAATAAGTGAAAAAAAAATTGCTTTTGTGCAGAACATCCAGCTACAAGTAGTAGCTTAATTGATGGTCACTGTCTTCCGTATTTTGCCGGCTTAGAAAGAAAAACAGCTAAACTAATGAACATGTTGACTGGGTATCTAAATTGATGGTCTCTTATTTTAGATGGAAAACACATATTTGCTCTACTCTGACTTTGGGTTGACCCGGAATTAGGAGACAGCATAGAAAGTATTGATGAAAGTTAGCCCAGAAGGAAATATTAAAAAGGGCAGAAAAATATATTTTTCCTCAAAAGGACTTTTTAAAACCAAACTTGGCCCCAAATCTATCTCTCTGCCCCAAGCAAGACATTTGCCCTATGCAAATGTAAAACCATCAGAAAGTTGGAGCTAGAGCAATCAAGAAGACAAAAGAGAAGATCTGCATACCCCACCCAAACTCTAGGAGTCAGCCCCATCACCTGGGAAGCAGGATATGATAATAGAATTAAACCACAGATATCAAGGCCTAGACAAACACTCAGAAACAGCCTCAAGGTTCATGCCACAGGAACAGGAAACTATTCCAAACAAGGCTAGAGGGGGTATAAAAGCCTACTGCCCCATGTGCTCAGCCCTTCGCTCTCTTCTTCTCTCCTCTGCACTTTCCTGAAGACCATCTTTCTGCAATAAACTGTAACCTTCTTCCCAAAGCAGTCACCATGTTTGCTTATTTATTCCCGGCTTGGATGAACCAGGATGAAGACCTTACTTCTAACAATTTGGCACCCCGAGATGGGACTCCAAGCTAACCTCTCCAATGGACTGAGACTGGTAAGCCCTATCTTGCCGGCAGCAGACCCCCTTGTGTCTGTGGATGGGTTTCCCAGGCCTTGCCCATGTGGAGCTAGGGTAGCAAAGGGAGTTTTGAGAGTTTGAGCTCAAGGGCTGCTTTGGAAAGAAGGTGAAGGTGAGTACCTCTAAATTTTAAGTTTAAAGCCCAGGGGAACAAAGAAAATGTGTATATTTCTGTTTGTGTGAGTGAGAAGACCTTTTTTTTTCCCAATCACAGTTGGATTTTGCTGCTTCTGGCCTTTCCTAGCCGCAGAAAGGATCTGTTTAATTGGCAGAACCTGGACAGCATGGGGGTTGGCCAGAGCATAGAACCTTTTGTTAGGGAAAAGGGAGAGACTGTGTGAAAATGAAATGGAATGAGTGAATGAAAGAATTGGATTTGGGCAACTAGCTGGTAAGGCCCTGTAAGCAAAGCAAAGTTAGGAAAGAAGTCTCGCAAGGAGACTTCGACTGTGTAGTGCCCTTTAGGGTAGGAAAGAAGTCTCACAAGAAGACTTCGACTGTGTTAGGAAAGAAATCTCACAAGGAGACTTCGACTGTGTAGTGTATGAAAGAAAAATAGACTTTGCTTAGGGCTTTGCTGGGAAACCAATTTGGCTAAATAAAGGTACTTAAAAAGGAAAATAAGAAATAGTGATTCTCTCTCTCTATCTCTCTTTCTCTTCTCTATGCAACCACGTGGTATGTTTAAAATGTGTGCCTTCCCTAACTTGAGTTATCTGAAATTTATGGTGGGAATGACTAGGATGTGTAAAACTAAGACTTCTGTTGCTTGTCTTTGTGTATATATGTTTGTCAAAGTCTCTGTGTGAGAGGTAAATGTGACTGTTAACTGTTTCAAATCTAAAGGAAAAAGAATTTTAAAGTCTGCTAGAAATTCTGCTTAAAATAAGCCACAAAAAGGAAAAACCTCACTCTGTCTGGCCAACAGAGTGAAGAAAAAAAAATGTGTTTGTTTGTTTGTTTTTCTCTGTCTCTGTGTACGCTCAAGAACAGCCTTAAGTTACTTGGAGGGATTGTTTTAAGTTTATCAGTTGGAAAAGTTTCACTTGCATTTACTGTATGTGTTTTATCTATCCTTTCCCTGAAAAATGTGTGTCTATCTACAAGAGCCTTTTGAAGCTCAAGTCTGCTTGTGTGGGGAAATAATTTCCTTAAGTTACTTTTCGTATCCTATCACTTATTGGTGATGCTACTATGAAACTTTTCTTATCCCAAATATATAAGCATTTCTCAATCTCTAAAACGATGTGGTCTATTTTAGAATAAATGTTCTCCTACCCTTGGCAAGTTGCACATCTCAAAATATTAGGCTTTTAAAATTATTTGGAGTTTTCACCCTTGGCAAGTTGCACATCTCAAAATATTAGGCTTTTAAAATTATTTGGAGTTTTCAGCATTTTCAAACTGCCTGCAAGCTACCCCCCTTCCAATTCTTTTCTTGACCTTTGTTCTCCATACCTTTTGTCTGCCTCTCCTGGTAGAGTCCACCCAGAAAGGGCGGGGGAGACCTTGTTCTTGTATCTTTCAGCCCTGAAACCTTCTCGCAAGCCTTTGGAAGCAGAACACACAGACCCAGATGCTGCCTCCATCCATTTGAGCCATGGAATTGGGTTTTGAATCCAGCCATCCACTAAAAAAGCCACCATGCAATTTGAGTGGAAAATCTTCCCAAGTCCTACCATTTACCCAGATGCCTGTGAGAGCTGCAGAAGGAAGGAGTCCTGGAGCCACTGATGCCATGTGAAGCCTCAGAAGAGAAAATTAGACTATGGGGGGAGGGTGGAAACTCATTGTAAACTTTTATTTCTTGCCCCATTTGTATTGTAACAAGCCAGCTGAATGTATTAGTGGAGAGATGGCACTTGGGAATAAGTGGCAGAACAAGTACTGAACACCTTGGACTTCTATCTGGTGGGAGGGAAAACTTTTCCAGAATGTTTGTATTGCCTGTTTTGTAGAAATAGCTGCATATGCACACATACACCATTCACACCATTCAGAGTCTATCCCCTCCACCTACCTTTAGTAAAGTTCCTCAGGCTGATTTTTGCTCTATTGCACCAAAGCTTTGTGGGACCAACTTCCAACAGATAACAAGGGGGAGGGAACCAAGCCCCCTCAGGTAATTTGCAATTTATATGCCCTGACTAAGGAAGCAACAGGAAAAATCCCAAACTTCAGCCCTGAATATCTTGCACTGTTGGGCTCAGATTGGGATTCCTAGAACTCATTATGTGCAATTTAAAGAAAATTTAATAGCCTGGCATACTGGCTAACCTCAATTGGGCATTACAAACCTGGATGCACTGAATTAAGAGCTAAGGCAGGAAACAACCCTTGAAATTGGGCAGCCAGTGGTCATGTACTAAGGAGAACCATGGCTGTGAAGAATTTTGGGGGGTATGCAAACCTGACTGGAAGCTAAAGGTGATATCCAACATTTGAAAATGATTGGCACAGAATATTGGACACTATAAATTTCTATCTAACAAAATTTTGCCCTGACTTTTAGAACTTTATGGGTGCAAGCTCCCCTTTTGGGAGCCACTAAAGGGATCTTTTTCTGCTGCCTCCATTAATGTCTTATTATTATTATTATTTTGCTTAACAGTTTAAAAGCTTACCTACCAAGTCTCCCTGACCAGATCAATTTTAATGTTGTGCCAATAAGTGTGTCATAAATTTACACACTTAAGGCACAAAGTGGGGGATTGATGAAAGTTAGCCCAGAAGGAAATATTAAAAAGGGCAGAAAAATATATTTTTCCTCAAAAGGACTTTTTAAAACCAAACTTGGCCCCAAATCTATCTCTCTGCCCCAAGCAAGACTTTAGCCCTATGCAAATGTAAAACCATCAGAAAGTTGGAGCTAGAGCAATCAAGAAGACAAAAGAGAAGATCTGCATACCCCACCCAAACTCTAGGAGTCAGCCCCATCACCTGGGAAGCAGGATATGATAATAGAATTAAACCACAGATATCAAGGCCTAGACAAACACTCAGAAACAGCCTCAAGGTTCATGCCACAGGAACAGGAAACTATTCCAAACAAGGCTAGAGGGGGTATAAAAGCCTACTGCCCCATGTGCTCAGCCCTTCGCTCTCTTCTTCTCTCCTCTGCACTTTCCTGAAGACCATCTTTCTGCAATAAACTGTAACCTTCTTCCCAAAGCAGTCACCAGGATGAAGACCTTACTTCTAACAGTATCAATTGTGAATATGTGCAGATGGCCCTGCTGTCTTTGGTCACTTGCAGATTCATGGATGCAGGGTCATGGAAAGGACAGTAAGGAAAACACCCAATGTCTAACCCACCCGGGAACATATGATGTCCTTAGGGAAACATTCAAAAGGGAACATTTTTAGCTACTTCTGCTTTCTCCCTTCTTATCTAAAGTGTGCCAAACTTACTGGGTGAAATCTTTTATCTTATGTGTGTCAGCTTTGCTGGGTGGATTACTTATGTAATCAGAATAAATACAAGGATTTCTTGTCATTCGGGGCTTCTCTCTTTTAGAGAAGCCCATCTTTGTTCAGCTGAATAAAAACATAAAGCTTAAAGGCAACTTCTGGTTTTCTGTATTTTTTTATCAAGCAAAACCTCAGACCCTGCACAACATTTTTGGTGAACCAGGCAGGAGAGGTTGCTGCATACTCAGGAGGGCTGAAGATAAGGTAAGATACAAAGATACACATTGCTTTATTGCACAGGCTTGCCTATGGGAGTGTGTCTGTGTATGTGTAAACGTGTGCTTGTTTCCTTGAATCATTTCCCACCGTTGACCAGAACTGGGCAGGTTTGCCATAGCTGCACCTAAACCTCCTGGGGATGTTTGGAAAGCAAGGGGGGGGTAACCTTATACTCTCATGCTCCAATGGGTTGTTAGGGTTGAACTTGTGGTTCTCTGAGGTTTGTGGTTGCTCCTTATATATATTTTCCACTGTTGACCAGGCCTAGGCGTGATACTGATCTTAGCCAAAGGTCAGTGGATCTCTTGTGGCCCAACAGGCTGTGCAAGTGGTGTGAGTGACTTAGACACATGGACTCAGCCCCAGGAAGACCTGTTAGAATGAATAAAAAGAAGGAACGTGCCCTCAGCCCCTTGAGTGTGTCGTAAGGAAGTTTGGTAAGCTTAAAACCCATCGGAATATGAAATTGACACTCTAATTAAGTACAATGCCTTCTGTCACCAGGACATGCCCACTGACCCACAGGGGGATCCATAGATTTGGGAGTTTTTGAAACCATGGGAGGCTATCCTTAAAGAGGCATGGATCATGATCAGCAAGCTTAATATGCACTTTTTTTTTACCTTACACAAGAATAAGCAGGTGCTTAAAGATTGTGGGTTGTGGTGACCTTCCGCGGCACCGCCTTTTCCTGCTTTAGCTTCTGCTCCAACACCCTATAAGGGGATCTACTCCCTTACAGGGCAGTAGCCATTGGAAGGGGGGACACTAATAAGGTCTTGGTTCGTACCCCTTTCTCCACATCTAACCTTTATGCATAG